TTCACTTATTTGCTCTCAGGGCTAATTGAGAGGCCTGAGAGGTAAGTGGTGGCCTTAGCATTGGCACTCTCCAGTTCCTTGAGAACGTGCATCAGCTTTTTTGGGACTAATTCAAATATTACACATACACTTTGAGAGGGATGGACACTGAGGGACAAGAATATGTCACTGAAGGTGGCAGAAGGCATATTCCTCATGGCACCTCTAACTATACTGATAGACAGCGTTTTCAGCATGTTGGCTTTCAGTGTTTAGATTTTGGAAAACCTGAGGCACACATGCAGTTTAGGATACAGTGCCCCATTCTGAGGATACCAGACAAGTGAGAGGTTAATTGTAATAGCAGATGGGGAGATAACTGTTTTCATGCAAGAGTCCTCATAATAGAATATTTCCTTACCACAAAACATTCTTATTTACAGAAACCATATCCACGGCATCTAGTTTCCCACATGCATGCAATTTTATTTAGTGAAATTACAAAATTCCATCATATGAACCCCCATATGTGTTCCAAAATGATTCAATGGTTCATTACAAGATTTAGAATTGAATTCAGGGCTGGATTTCTAACATCTTATCAACAGAACTTACTAATAGCTGATGGTTTTATACAGATTCAGATTAGGGACAGTCAAATAGAGTATAATCACATCTTCATTCTTTGAGACACAGAATTAAGTAAAATTAAGGTCATCTGAGTAACAAAACTGAAGGAGACACTGGAGCCAAGCACAATTATGATAAATTCTGTCAAAAAATATATGTTAGCAGAACTAGTCTAACTTGTGAATTCTTCCAGCTCACGGACAAACAATAGCTGAGATTCATTTCTCACTGCACAACTTAATAATAAATAAATATTTTCTAAGTGTATTTTACTAGATATCTTAAAAACAATGATATAGTTGAATTCATTAATGGTTGAAGATATCTTGTAAGTGTGTGTATATATTACCTTATGGGAACATCCAGTTTAACTTTCTAAATATAAAAAGTATACTTATTTGGTAATTATATACACAAGGCTGATAAATACAGGCAAGTTTAATAAAGTGTTATGCCCACATTTATATACCTCATTCATTTCATGCTCCACTTGCAATGCACTCTTATGATCAAACTTTATTAAAAATCTAATAAAGAAATAAATAAAGCCAATATCATTATGGAACAGGTAAGGACACAGTAATTCAATACATTCACACTGAAATTTTACTTTAGGGGTTAGGCAATAAAGGATACAGATTAAAAATGAGAAGTTACAAAGGCAAAGAGAAACTTTAAGTAGCAGCAACAAGAAAAGCTACAGGATACTATTTTTAGATGGATGCATTTCATCTGTGTCATAATGTTGGCATTCCATTAATCAGCATAATCCTCATTATCATTATCATACCTATTTTAGACATGCCCAAGTATCCAAGTATCTATTCCCTTTGAGTTTTCTTTTTTTTTTCTTTGACAAATAGTTGCAGTCTTTTTTCTCTTTGAAAAGCAAGTCTTCTCCTACAATATCACAAACTTTTATTGAAGTCCAGTGAGGGTCAAAAATAGGTTGAGAAGGAGGATGGTAGATACTGTTTAAGAATCACTAGTCTAAGTCTCTCTTACATATGTGTGGTCTTTTGGATTCTGGCCAGTCACGATAATAATTTACTTTCATCAGTTATTTTCTTGCTCTCTTCACAAAAGTATTACATGGCAGATTAGCATCCTCTCCGAACTCCGGAGAGTTGAGGCTTACAATGAGAAACTATAGGCAGATAGCACTAAGGAAGTCTTTCCGAGTGTGATCACACCAGGAAATAGATCACAATTTGGACTGCTTGTGGAGCAGTCCAGTGTAATCTCTTTCTTGGCAATCACACGAGGTAAATGCACTCTAGCCTGACCCTGATCTGTATGTTTTTGTTCCAACTATAGGGCTTCTATGTTTTGATGCCAAGTCAGAGCAATATCTCAGCGGATGGAGGGGTTGCTATAACAGAGATTGCACTAATTAAAACAACTCTTTATGGTGCAATCATGTATGTACCTTTGCAGCCATTCAATTGCATTCTCAGTTTTATTCAGAGGTTATTCTTAAGAATGGAAGGTGGACATGCATAAGCCTTGCTTTTCATGTGCTCATCTCACCCAGAAGTCACTTAGACATTTGTGTTTAGTTAGGATGTCTGCAGAAGAACCTGGAAATATATTCAAATAAGCATGCTTACAAAGCTTCAGTGATTGGGAACCCTGCTTTGTCAGTGTTCCCAATTATGGTTCCCAGTTATGAGTTCAACTGAGTAGATCCTTTACAGATCTTTCTGATTAAACAAGTAAACGTTTGAGTGATGTCTAGATGTGGTGGGGATATGGAAGACATTTGCCAGTACCTCCATGTTTCCACTATGCTTAGCACTCACCCCAATTTCAGACATAATGACTTAATAATAGGTCTATGGTGAAATCAAGATTCAGACTTGGGGCTTCTTGCATTTCTAATATGATCTCCGAGCCACGGTGCCAGATCAGTTCTCACCACGTTATTGGCAACACTTTTTTAGGCTGGAAGGTGTTTGTATAGTATAAACTGCTTGGTTTTCTCATCCCCCCTTTCCCTGCCTATGCACCTTGTTTGTAGACTAACAAAATGAGTTGTTATGGTAATAGACAGAAAGTAAAAGAAATTTTTAAAAAAAATCTCAAGGGAATCTTGTTCTAGTCCCTAATAATAACCTCAGTATTACAGTCAGATTATGGCACTTTTTTTGTGGCACACAATTCTACTTTTTCATGCATATACTTCAGCGCAGTATTCTCAATATCTTGACATGTTCCAACATCAAGAATATCTTTCCTTCACATTACTTGAGTGCACTGTAACAGGAATGCATAAAAACATGAAGCTGGCTTATATTAAATCAGACGATTTGCCCATCAAAATTCAGTACTGTCTACTCAACTGGCACTTAACCATTTGGAATGGGAAATGTGAGTTCTAAATAATACAAACTCCTTGAAAACAGACTCAGGACCATTTCCAAAAATGGGTTTAGATGATTTCATGAACTATTAGGCAGGATCATGTAGAAGCAAACAGTTCCTTAAGTAATGTGAACTTAAGCCATTTAGGTGAAGGCTAGAAATTCACAGGCTGAAATCCAGCAGTAAGTCACAGCTAGAGTAGGCCCTTGAATTTACACATAAGTTTAGATTCACCACTGGTTCAACTGGCCTATTTAAGTTGGAACTTAGTACTGGATTTCAGCCAGTCTGTTGTGCTACAAACTAATAGATTACAGTGGATATCTCTATATCCATAGTTTTTTTTAAAAAACTTAAAAATATTGAAGATAATACCATGTTACTCAACTGCAGCAATTGTAAACCCTTTCACAACAAAACAATACTCTTGTAACACCTTAACAATCAGTAATTACTTTTTTGGATTAAAAAGAGAGAGAGAAAACACCTTTGCTGTACCCACAACCACTTCGGCACTGAGTTCAGACATCAGCAAACGAAACCCAATAAGGTCACATAATCACATTTACTTGAAAAGATTATTATACACTTTAAAAATCTCCACTGTTTTTGTTAGACGATTACTAAACAAATCAGTTTAAATGCAACTACTCTTACTTTCTTTTGAAACACCGCTACAGTCAGATCAAGTCAAGTCTACCATCTGCTGAGAGAACAAATGTAGCTCTCTTGAAGAATTATGTGATACAGCTTCCTTTGCAAAGTTTACATGCAAGCTGTTCTTGTCAAAATGGAACCCACTGTGATGATGCATCTTAATATCCAATCTGACGTTAAGTAAAGAGTGACAAAAGTCCACATTTGCATGACAAGCTGTTTCTACAGTAAATATTTTCCTATTTACCGAATAGTCATATGGCATTGTAAGATGTTTCCTACCAGTCAGTACAGCCGAACATAAAACAACGATGAAATAGCCACTTGAAAATCCAGGCATTCATATCTCATATTGTAACTGTAATTATATATACATATTGCATGTATCTGTTTTTGTGGACTTTGAGCACTGTGTTATTAATGAAAATAAGGCAAACAAATAAACGATGACTATGATTCTCATCCGCCTATGTGGATAAGATAGTGGATCTGCCTCAGTGGCTCCCCTTTCAGTTTCAGTTAGGATTTTTCTGTTCCTTGTCTGCATCTGATAAAAGTTACATTAGAATTCAGGGTACAGGAAGTTCTTTCAGAGCTGCAGTCAGTTTCTCCTCCTTTTTTTACAATGCATGGAGAAACACAAAAAGACATTATGCAGGCATATTAAAATAATATTTTTCACATTTTTCCTCTTGTTCTATACTGGTTGAAAGTAACAAGAGAAAGCAAGCTGATGCCAAGCTGGCAGTGCAGCACACTAAACCTTTTCTCCTATGTTTTGTACAAGGGCAAATAACAAAATATATAATTGGAAGCACAATTTATTTTCAAAGCATTTGGTTTTCTCAAAATATCTGATGGGAAAAACATTGAAATGTTCAAACGTGAAATGTTCAAACCTTGAAATGTTCAAATGTGAAAAAGGAGGAGAGGGAGGGCCTTATTGGTGCCTGAACCTTCACAGAAGCATTTGTTGACATGTGATGCTTGTGTAGCACTCTTCCAGGGAAGACCTGCCCATTTAGACAAGTCCATGCTGCATGAGTTTAACCCTTATTCTACTAACTGTTTTATTTGTTTAACTGTTTATTCATCTTATGTTTATGTACTTAGGTTTATTGGTAGTGTAAAAAAGGGTGAAATACAGACATCATCACAAGTTAAGCAATAAATGAAATAAATGCATTTAACTTTATGTGGCTTACTCTTCCCAAGTGAGGTGCTGTAAATTTTCCTTTAGTCCATCATCCCACAACTAGACAACTGAAAATATACAAAGAACTAAACCTGAAGAAGCTTTTCTTTCTTTGTCATGCAAGTAGATAGGCACAGTGTATCAAAGGAACATTTTGTAACACTTCACGTCTTACCCCAAAATAGGATCCACGGCAACTGCTGTGGGGTTATTAAGTTCAAGATCAATCAGGATAACACACACGGTTCCATTATAGTTGCAAGCGAAGATTGTGTCACTTGTCCGATCCACAAAATAAAAATTTCCAGTTAGCCAGTCGATTGCCATTCTCTGTATATCTGTTATTATGAAAAAGATGGTCAAATTAGTTGTGCTATTTTAGTATGAGTAACAGTAGACATTACACCAAAAGGATATATACTAGATACTTACAAGGATTCATGCTGTTCATGAATTCTATGATAACAAGGGAAAATAATAAATTTTGCCTGAAGTATAATTTAGTCATGGTAAAAATAAAAAGGTAGCTACCATTTTTAATTCTGATGTAAGTCAAGGAAAACTCAGGTACAAATTATCTGCTGTAGTATCGATAATGATACGGCACAAAAAATGATAACATTTCACAGTGGGCGAACACATAATCATACTGCCTTTTTCATAGAAACCACAGAATTGCACAGTGTGAGAACTTTTTCACTTTGTACCTCACTGTACAAACACAGAACTGAAATATGGAAAAAAAATCACAATACATCGGAAAAATGAGAAATGCATGATCCTGACACAGCTGCCCTTAAAGCTATTCAGGTTAAAACCCTTTCGTATTTTTTGTATGAGACGATCCTGGGTCCATCAGCCCAGTTTTGGCAGTCTTCCAAATGCCCAGATGTGTTTCTAACACTAGCTCACACCTAGAATCTGGCCTATTCAGAAACTGGAATAAGCCTTACCTCCATCATTTTCTGGCTTAGGTTAATTTACTACCTCCAAGAATTAACATCTGTAATTATTCAAGACTGCTTCTATTCTCCATGACTAAAAGCAGTATATCAGAAGTTAACATCTATTAGTCTCTTCCCACAGTCCCTTCTTACAATGGATTTGGACAAGACAACTACATTTGTCAAACAGAGGTTGTTTGCCATAAAGAGACAAGGCAATATTAGAAGAACTCCCAATTTTCTCATAGCAGATTCCAGATATATTATAGTTCCAGCTGCCTATCTCTCTCTCTCCTGGAGTTGGCGACCTACCACAGGGAATTCTCACTAGCTAGATGGCATGCTCTTCCCTCAGAGTTTACCAAGGATAGGTATAAAAATACCCCAATGGCGGAGAGGGTTTGCCCCTGCAGTGACACCATGGTAGAATCCACCACACACATTACGTTATACTGCCGGTTCTATCATGAACTACATATTAAGTTCATTCTCCCTCCGCTTACCCAGTTTTTGAGCTGTCTTCAAACAGAGATCTCACACAAACTACTTTTAGTTAATAATCCTCAGATTACACTCACTTGCACAAAATTCCTTGCAACTGCATGTTGAACTATTCCCTCTCAAAACTAGAACAAAACCTTGACTCTTATCATTGAAGCTGCACCAACGTCATCAATATCAATGTTATCAATATCAGTCTACCACTTTGCTTAAGGACGAACAATATCCGATTACAAAGCAAACAGTAAATCTCCGGTTTACTTGCATACAGCAAAGCTCAGGTTTAACCCCAGCCATCTCCAATGAAAGAACATATGGTACATGCACTGAGAAAGATGCTTCCCCCAAATCACAGGTTGCTGTAAATTCAGTCGGCACCGAGTTAAATCGACTGATAGTCTAACTCTCCATGAATGCCAAACCAAAAGAAGCAGTCAATAAACAGATGCAGCTGGCAAAGGCCTAAAATTTCAAGCCAATATATAATCAATTTGTGCTTAGGTAAAGCAACAAAAATTGTGTACGAAAACATTATGTATGTCTATGATAAAGTTTTTTGTACACCAATATATAGTCAGTTCATCAACACATGAAAAGAGCCACATACATGAGATTCAGAAGTTCACCCATAATAATGTTTAGAAAGAGACAATGAATACCAATAGTAGTAAACTTCAGCCTGTAGGCATTTAATAAGTCTTAAATACAGTACAAAGTATCTGCATTTTGGCACACAACTACTTTTCTTTCTTCTACTGTTGAAGCTAGAATAAGCATGAGTTTGCAAAACCTGGATTTTACTACTACTACGATGATGGTGGTGGTGGTGGTGATGATGATGATGATACAACATATTATTTTGCAATTTAAAAAAATCAAAGACTTCTATAAGCAGTCTTGTAAAAGCATCTTACTGTGAACACATAGGATGTTCTGTAAGTAACATGCATCTTGCATTATCTGTGGATAAACTGATTATACATCAGATTACCAGTGGGAGTTTTGCCCAGGTCTGTTGGATTGTTAACAAAAGTGAGTACCTACTCCCATAAAGATGATGTGAATCTGGACGTAGCCAGCATCAAAACATAGAATCAGCCAGCAGATTCCTCAATGCGCAAAGGGCCACAGTTTTCTTTGTTTGATCACTTATTTGTTTTGGAGGGCAGTGTTTTGCTGGGCTGGTTGTAACAGAGCTCACGTTTTCAGAAGTAAAGCCTGTTATTTAATGTGTCATAGAAGTGATTCTGTTCCATCAGTGAAGAGAAGCCTATTACTTTTCAGGGAAAAACCGGAATATATGAAGCACCTCTTAAAGATCTCCCTCCTCTTCCACACACTTTTTATTATGAAGTCCTGTGATCTCTCTTTCTCTCTGATTCTGCATTTTCACATTTTTGCACTCAGAGAATAACTCTGAGTTCCTGTGTTGTTAAAGCAGGACTTCGGTACAAAAAATGGACTGACAACACTCCTTACTATTATATGACCTCATGGCCAATATTTTCCCCAGCTGCTACTCGGCAAGCAAGCTCTTACTGGCCTCTTACATCCCTCTTCCACAAACACTTGCAGTTGTTGACACAGGACTGTCGTTCAGGAAAAAGATGATGGATTTATTGTGTGGGAAGGGGAATGCAACAGAGTTACAATCTTTCCCTCCGTGAGCACACTTTGTGAGCAGAGTATGGTTAAAATTAGCTCTTTCTTTCTATCTCCATCCCCATCCCCCTTCTCTGCCCTCTGCTTGCCACGTCTACATGCCAGGGCACAGATCTGTACACAGAAGGAGAGACCTGCGCTCACTTCATTCAATTTGTCTAACTTTCTTGCTGTGCCAGTGCTTCAGCTCACAGTTTCTGTTTCTATGGAGCCAGGGTGGGAGTGAACTTCTGCCACCTTCTTCTGCCAAGGAAATCCTGGGCTCCCCCCCTCCCCAACATCAGCATACAGGATCCATGTGTATTCTGAAACATGACCAATGTAAGATACAGTATTCAAAACAAACAAAAAGACCCACATTCCTATATTTTGGAAAACAAGTTAAGCAATAGGACATCAATAGAGAAAGGTACATTTTCATTAGGAAGAGTTCTGAAATATATAAAAACTGAGATGTTAACAATATGACAGAATGTCTGCCTGATAATTTAGATTATGGCTTTACAAGATTGTCCCTCAATCAAGAACATATATATTGAACCAGATATTGTCAATTATTGACTCCTGTCTTTGTCTTCTTGGTATTGCTTTGACAGAATAAAATTGTAGTTCCAAACTTTCGGTCTCCAGAAATCCTGGCCAGCCCAGCTAGTGGTAAAGGCTTCTTGGAGTTTTAGTCCATGTGGGGACCCTAGATTGGGAACCACCGGAGTAAAAAGATAGTCACCTACCACTAATATGCATTCAGCACAGCAATATTTCAACTATAGCACAAGGATTGGAAACTGGCAATATTATGTACCGCGACAGCCATCGTAATGTATTGTTCATAACTGTCACATCTATTCATCACCTTCCTCCTTCTGCTGTTCTTTTGCTTTTTAATTCCGGGATAGTATTCTGACTCCCCTTTGTTGCCACTGCCAATATAGAAACACAGATCCTCACTGTGACAACACAGCCGTGTCCTCCAGTGACTTTTTGTGTCCTTTTTCTAACAATGGCCAATGTCAGACAGTTTTCTAGAAATCTGAAAATTATAACCAATGAGTTTATGTCTCTTCTGCCCTTTACTGCTGAAATTCAAAAAAGACAGATGACTTGAAATTACAGAACTATGAACAGTCTCTATAAAACTTATGATGAAATGTCTGAAAAGATAGAGAAAGGCACCGCTTCAGCCAAACACATTGCTGTAATGCTCTTGGGAAGAAGCATCCTGCTGCTGCACCCCCATGTTTAAGTGATATCCTTTCCTCTGGCAATTATCAAGTATGAGTGGTAAGGTTCAGTTCAGGACTGTACGCGATAAACAGAAACATGTTTCCCTAGTTTAGTAATTGCTGACGTCGGTTCCAACTCCAGTCAGATCCTGCTATAGTGTTAAAATACCATTGCCTACTCTGTCATTGTGAATATGGTTCCTCATCCCCTTTCTCCCTAAGCTCAGACACTCCTGCTGGCCCCAAACCTTCATAACAGGCTGATGCACTGTACAGTAGCTGCTGCTACTTTGACAGTGAACATGACAACATGTCCCCACTTCTCCCACTCCTCTGAGGAAATTCACACCTGTTCCTTCTGCTAAATGGAAGCATTATCTTTTGCTGTCTTTCTTCAAGATCCATGTGACACACTCTCTCATTAATAATTGTTATTGGCAGAAACTATGATTGCATGTGGTTTGGTGACCACTTTTCAAAGCAGAGTTAAATGAACAAGGAAACATATGGTGCATGAATCTGCTTTCAAATTGTGTGTTTAGATTCCCCCCCCCGCCTCGCATGTTGCTAGGTCTTCTCTTCCAAGTGAGAGATGTGATTGGGGCATGGGCCCTGTTATTAATGATTTAAGTTGGTGGTAAGTTTCCTTTTCTTTCCCTCTGCCTGTTTCAATGGAATCAGCTCCATTCCTACATCTGGTCTGCATTGGTGCTGGAATCAGTGGACTACATGAAGCAATGCAATGTCCACTTGTTCGATTTTACAGTATAATGGTTTGAAGTTCAACATCTTAATGGAATGAACTAGTTGGGTGCTCAGTGGCTTCAGCCTTTACTAGCTCAAGCCAGCATGCATCCACTCACCTCCAGTTAATGTATTACCTATTCAATTAAATGAGGACAAGAGCAAAGGGAGCAGTTAGTAGAAACAATCTACCCAGGAATTCAGGTATACCCGCACTGTGTCACAAAAAAAGAAATAAACAACAGATGGACAGTGGGAACTGGG